TTAAGCAAAACATTATTTATTAAGACACTGACCACTAAACTAAGACCATTTTCAAAATAAATAAGCCCCGACCTATCTGGTATCATCTTTTCTTTACCCTGTATCGACTGTATTCCTGGGTGTTACCTGTGGACCTGGAGGCCCAACCATCCGTCGTAGCCTGACTCTACCGTCTACTGTCGCGCGGTCGGCTCTCAGTTGCCGCGACACACTGTCGCCCGGTAGCGGCCACATATCTATTGTTGAGCGTGTATTGTGTTGAAGCGTCTACTGTATCGGTGAGTAACTTAGATTATTTACTCACACCCTGTGAATCTGCCGGTCATTTCTGAGACTGACTACTCATTGCAGTGCTACAGAAACTATTCTTGTAATTCAATTATTTAGTTTTGGGTAAAACTATTGTAATCTAATTATCTATACAGCCGCATGTGTATGCATATATATTATATATACATTCTTGTTTGTTTGTTATTCTGTTTATAAACTCTAGTGGCCACCTTCAAAATTTAAATGTGTTTCGATTGATATTTGTTTTGCATATAGTTATACTTTATACAGGGTGTTTGGTAGTCAGTTTCAAATATTTTAAGGCATTATTATGCACGCAAATTGCTATAAAAATACGCAATTTGGATAGTTATATCTCACTCCTACTTCCGGCAACAGTAATTTTTAGAATTTCCCAAATTTCTTGACATTGCCTAATAAAATCTCATATTTCTCAACTTTTAACCTACATAATGATATTTTCAATTGCATTTTTAGAATCGTCATTAAATGTTCTATCAAAACACGTATAATATACAGTAGTACAGCTAAACCCATTTAAAAGTTTTTAAACTTGACTTAAATAACAAATTTTGAAAAATCAATAAAAAGGCTGCTAAAACTCGCTTAAGAAAAGTTTTTATCAAGCCTTGTTAAAAACTGTCAAATAGTATAAAAAACATCCCCAGATTTTAAGCTTTAAAATGATATGCAATATGTGACATATAATGTCAGCCTAAGGGGAGCAATTTGCATTAAACATAAAATTAATCATTTGGGTACAGTTTCTTAACTGGGCTATGCTAATATCAATTGAAACTATCGAATTAAAAATATTGATTAATAATCGATATTTTTAAATATATTCATTATCAAATTAAACTATCATAACCGAACCTAACCAACCAAACTTGCTGATGGTGAAAAAATTGCATGAAGGTTTGATAATCGAATCGATAGTTTCAATCGATATTAGCATAGCCCAGTTAAGGAACTGTACCCAATCATTTGTTCACTAACTGCTCTCATTAATTACGAGAACGCATTTCGTAAAAGATGTGTGCAAAAGGTATCTGTATTATTAAGTATTTCCCAAGAAAACTTGTAAAATTTAATACTGTAGTATAGTACGGTCCAAACTAGTTGTAGTGCTTTGAATGCCTCTTAAAAGTAGTGAAATTTATAAATACACACGTTAGTCATGATTACGAAGATACTGATCATATGTAATTAAGAATATTTCTACCGAACAAAATTTCAAATACAAGTTAGGCCTAATATATTTCTTATTGGAAACATACAAAAATCATGGATAAGCTGCACCTTAAGAATCTTAAATACAGGTTATGTCTAAAGCATGTTCTTGATGCATATAGGCCTACTGCACACGAAAATTATTTTACAAACAATTGATTTAATGGGGCATATATTTATTCGACAAACCTATCTAGGTTTTTGCAACACACCCTATCTTCTGTCTTTAATCACATAGATTTTGGTCAAACTTAAATAAAAAGTAAAAAAAAATTAAAATAGCACTCCTCTTCATTACACTAATGAGGTAAAGACTTAGTCATATGGATTTTTGTGAAGAGACAGACCCTTTGCATGGACAGCCAGATTCTCTGATCTTATGCCTATCTTATTACTTGTTTGGACATTCCTTAATGTTGAAGTGTATACTACAGATGTATACAGTGAAGAGGACTTGAGAAAGCTCTATAATTGACAGTAGTTGTACAAAAGTTGAGAGGAACCCTTTCCTATAAGATTACAGTTGAAGCAATAAAGAAAAGCTAAAGAACACGCAAAGTCAGATAGTTTTAACCACATATTTAAAACTCTTAAGGTGCAGCTTTTCCATGTTTCTGTTTGTATTCAATAAAAAAAAAAATATAACCTTGTATTTCAAAATTATTCTGTAAAATAACATAAATTTTTAAAATAATGTTAATTATTTATTATCTTAATTATCTTAATTATCTTAACTTACTTGTGCATTTATAAAATTCTCTATATTAACCTGGTATAAAATAATTCAAAGCCCTTTGATTATGTACTATTGTATTCAATATGTACTAAAATATTAGATTTTATAAGTTTACTTGGGGTAAACTTTATTATACAGATACCATTTGCACATAACTTTCAATAAATGCGTTCTTGTATTAATGATTGCAGTTAATGAAAAAAATTATTAATTTTATGTTTAAAGCAATATTTTTCCCCTTAGGCTGACATTACATGTCACATATTGCATATCATTTTAAAGCTTAAAATGTGGAGATTTTTTTATAATATTTGACAGTTTTTAACACGACTTGGTAAAAAAAATTCTTAAGTGAGTTGTAGCGCCCTTTTTATTGATTTTTCAAAATTTGTTATTTAAGGCAATTTTAAGAACTTTTAAATGGGTTTAGCTGTACCATATTATAGGTGTTTTGATAAAAAATTTAATGATGATTCAAAAAATGCTATTGAAAATATCATTATGTAGATTAAAAGTTGAGAAATATGAGATTTTATTAGGCAATGTCAAGAAATTTAGAAAACTCTAAAAATGGCTGTTGCCGGAAGTAGGAGTGAGATATAACTACCCAAATTGCGTATTTTTATAGCAATTTGTGTGCATAATAATGCCTTAAAATATTTGACACTGACTACCAAACACCTTGTATATCGAATTTTGGTATACATATTAGGACTTAAATGATGACAATTATGTTGATAACAATTTTTTTTATAGAATTTAATGCATTGCCTTCGTTGAATAAGATACATTTCAAGTCCTTAGGCCTTAAATTATTTTTTCACTTTACATAATCAATTATTTAAAAAAATAATTGTCATTAAGTACATTTTAGATTTTATGTAGTTGAGGTAATCAGTTTTAAGTGTAGTTTTGTATTGTCAAAAAAGATCAGTGAAATATTTGAATTTCAAATATATAAATACATTATTGAAAACTAAGTACCCTTTTGACATTTCATTACACAACGTTGAGTTTTAAATATTAGGTGAATAAACATATATTTGAATAAAAAATATTATTTGAAAAAATATAGTGTTTTAGCTCACTAAAGTTGTTTAACTGCGCGCCATACTTTAGTCAGATAGTTTATGCCAATTACCGTCAATATTTCACTATCATAATTTGACAGCTAAACTACACATCCAGAGATCCAAATGCATGTGCGCGAGTAGTTTGGCCTGTACTATGAAACTACTATTTACTGTGGTTTTTGGAGCATTGCTGGTAAGATTTTATTGGCATCTCCTCATATAATGCATAATTACTTTGTTCGTAATTTAAATGATTTCTTGTATACTTTCATAAAGATTCAGTTTACCATGAGTTTTTTATTGTTTATACGTTAGCAGGGGCTACGTGTGTGTATTAAGTTTGTAATCTAATTTAAAGAGTGAAGATCTTAACCTTTAATCGATATTCAATATTCATATTCCGTTCAAGGAATATTTTATGAGAAAATTATATGATTTTTCTAAATCCTATTCTTTAATCCGAACTATGTTACTTCTTAAACAACAACGCATACGCATCTTTGCTTAAGCCACGGAGTTATCTTAAATATGTTGTTTTTTAGAAGCTTAAAACCCTTCAACTGGCAAAGCGGCTGTAATATTTGAATTTTGTCAGGTTTTATCAGGAAGCAATTTACAAATTTATTTCCACAGTCTTTCGTCTCTAGTTTACTGTATGAATGTGGTTGAACATTCAGCTGAAGATTCAGCTATCCTTGAATTCAAATAGATGTTTAAAACCGCTGTAAGAAAGATGTTCAGCATCGATTGATTTTTCGAGGTAAACTCTAGAAGCGGATCAAACGCTATAGGGTGCTATGCCCTAAAAGAAATTGCCTTATTAATTACCAATCGTCCCTGTACTAGTTAAGCACTGACTGACGTCCTCAATCGTAATAATAGATTAAGGAGGATATAGGAAAAGGGATGTTACCAAAAAATCTAAAGAAATAATTGTAAGGATAATTTTTTTTCAACTTTGTTTAGGACTCCACCCATGTTAATTTTGGCAATAGACTACTTTCAACAGTGAAGTTAATTGGAAAACGCACAAAAAATTAAGTTAAATTTAATTAGTTGTATGTAACCAAACGTTTCTTAAGCTAGGAGCTTTTTTTCGCTCATGTGGTTGTTGTATGCCAGCATGACCTCATGTAATACATTAGAGGATGCTATGATGCCAGCCTTCTACCTTTTACAATGCAATCCTTATACCTTTTTGACTAATACAACTAGAAAATCCATCCCCATGTTGAAGTTATTTTTTGAATCAAAACGTCGTGGTTGATGTGGTCCGCCGACAGATTGTGCTGATCTAAACTACTAATTTCTGTTGAACCTAACGTGTTTTTACCAAGTTAAACCAATGAAACGACTTATTGAAAGCTATAGCAACTGTTATGACCATCAACTTGGTCGGCAACAAAAATTAGGTAGAAATTTGAAGTTTTGACACTAGCACATTGTGGGACTGGCTCACACAACTATGTTCTTTTTTAAATTTCAAGACAGCTGGTCCATATGGGGCGTCTACTTTCGTATCCAAATAGGCAATGCTTCTACGTTAAATTTATGTGATCCAAATGTTAACATGCACTATTTTCATAAAAGCTCAGCAATAAAAAATATTTTTTAATCTAAATGGGCTTATACTGTTGCAGATCCACCAGAGTTTAGCTGCTTTGGGTTCCTGGCTTTTTGGGGGGGACAAAACCAAAGGCCATGGTAATCCCGATATTCATTTAATAAATATTCCTTAATTAATAGCTGTTCAAAGGCAACATTTGTAAATAAACAGTTCACGTTAACAATATACACACAACAACATGTACAACAACATTAAGAAACGAACTTGATAACTAACGAATCAACGAAACGAATAACGAATCGTTTAATAAACGAACTTGGTTGTGTACAACAACATGCGTTAACAATATGCACAATAGTGCATGTTAACAATTTGGTTGTGATTGTAAGTATAACCTGTATATGTTAGTGTGAGCACAAGCTAGTTTGTTTCTTTCTTTAAGTGTAATCCTGCTTCAACCTAAAACGTTCCAGAAACTTTAAATAAATATTCGAATCAATCTACCGATGACGTCAGCATTGTTGTGTTGTATGTAAGAGTTGCTCTAGTATAAGAGTTTTTCTTTTTGCGAGGGAGCTGGTCTAGTAGTAGAGAACGGTGTTTCGGTGCTCGAGGTCCCGGGTTCAAATCCCACCAATCACCAATGGATTTGATCTATGTGATAATGCCACAACCCTCTAGACTAGGATGAAGTAATGTGCAAAAGAGTTCCGGGCTAGGACTAGCGTCCTAGGATAAGAAGGTGGGATATAAAGTTTTAGGAGCTTTCGTCGGTAATGGTAATTTCTTCTTACTCTGTCAGTAACTTGTTTATTTAATTATGAAATTCCACAACAACAAAAAACAAGTTTTATATGGATCTACATTATGTGATCTCAACTTTAAAAGTATATTTGAAAAGAAATAAAGACTCTACGCTAGGTTTAAAAACTCAAAGATCAAGTTTTTTTTACTGGATGAAAGAGGAATTTCATGATTTGCTGTAAAAATTAGACTAGCACAGTAAGTAAATGATATATTTTCTTTATAGATCCGAACATTTATCTTTCAGTTTTGGCCTTTACTCCAATGCAAAACGAAGAGTCTTATGGTGGGTTTGTACCCTTGCCGAAGCACATAGATCCAGAGAATAATCTGCACCGTGAAAATACTGAAAAGAAATTTAAATTCACTTCAGGCAAAGACATGCTTGTTAAATGCGTAGAAGACGACAAAGAAGCTAAAGCATTCGTATTCGGCCCAGAAGGATACTTCATAGATAGATTGACGCTACAAAAAACGAAAAAGGAAAACAATGTTTGCAAACAGTTGTTGGATAACATTGAAATGGGTCCAATTCATGCTTATACCTCTACAATCAGAAGTTATAAGTTTACATTCAGCCTAGTGTACACGTTTCATTTGAAGAATAAACCTCAGTGTCTCAGCAGAACATACACTGTTGAAATTTATCTTCACTACCCCACATTGGAGAGGGGATCCGAAGAAATGACGAATTGCAAGGAGACTGTGATTGTAAGTATAAAATAATACGTCATGTGACAAAATTTCTATAACCGAAAACACCCTTTTTCGGAACTAAATGGTGGAAAGCTTGATTTTGTATATGTGATAGAACCACATGAAAGTTGTATTTTCCAAAAAGTCCCCAATTCTAGCCATTGAGCTTTCCCCCACCCCCAATCCAAACCTAGATATTGCAGAGTTTCACTTAATTGATCATAAACTATGCATACTATCGTGTTGCAATTTGTTTTGTTTTGTTTTCGATTAGTTTTCCTACAACCTTTTTATTTAAGATTATTTTCTAAAACCTGGATTTAGGGAGATACATAACTTAAACTTCATTAAAAGCTTTGTTTCAGAGTACAACATTTTGTTTTTCTCTATGTATACTTTTAAATATAAATAATACCAAAATATGGTTCATACATTACGTTTTTCAAGGTTTACAAATATATTATTGGTTAGTCATCTAGGTGACCGGGTGAAGAGCTGGGCGTCGGTAAAGAGAGCGCGTGCGGGCTATAATAATCTATATTCTATCTAAAGTCAATATTCTAGTTACAATTTTGTTAAGAATCATTATAAATTGATGTATCCACTACATTGTGTAACAAACAATTACATTTACTACTGGCAAAATGTATGGCATATACCACATGAGTTTCCTTTATATTGCTTTAACAATCAAAATAAACTATACCGAGCCGTGGATCGGTCCCCCGGTAGTAGTTCAATCAACCATTTGTTAACTGTTTATTCTCGCGTTTTTATTCAGTAAGCGAACTACTATAGCCAGCGCATTGTAGCCATGTATATCCAGCGCTCTGCAGCCATGTATAACCCGCCACCTTTTATACGAAGGCTCAGTCTCCAAATACGCAAAGCAGTTCACTACTCCAGCTGTTGAGTGTCGAATTTAATTGCTGTAAAATAGAAAAAATCTTAACTGAACCGTCTAGTTGTAAATGACGGTTGTAAATGTCGCTGCGAACAGCCCCCATCAAAGCGGATGGGTCAAAGGATCTACTGTCAATACTTATCTTTGGGTAATTCCCTATAATAGATCATGTTTAGACATGTTTTGACAAAAGTATAATATATTACAGCAGCATACCTCTTACTGAAAATTGTCATTCAATTTTTTTTTCAGGATACTTCAGATTCGAAAAAAAGGTAAGTCTTTACGATTACTTATATCACCCTTTAGTCAAACAAAATTTAGTTTCGAATCCTGTTGTTAGGATAAACATGATAATTGTGTGCTATTTTAGTTTCATACATGCTTCTAATACATTTACTGTGTTTTATAAAATTTTATTACAATAGGGAACGTTTTAAATAAAAGTAAATTATTTATTTATTTTATTACTCCTTCTAATACATTTACTGTGTTTTATAGAATACTTATTACCACGGGAAAAGTACGAAATCATGGAATTCAGCCGAAGTGGTGTTCCTGTGGAAAAACCTGTATTTACCACTCTTAAAACTGAAGTAAACCTCAAGATTAAGTGTCAAAAATACGCCAAGAGTTCAATGGTTGGAGGCACCACCTTAGCAATAGGATATATAATGTATGATGATAATATAATCTTGGAAAAGTTACCTCTAGACACTTGTACAGACGAAGGAATATACATCAACACTGTAGGTAAGTATGCCGCTGGAGACAGAGAATTTACGCTCGTGTTTAAAAAAACAAGATGGAAACTGTTTCAAAATGGTTATTTTGTTTGTTTTCGATGATATTCCCAAGGAGAAAGTTATTATTAGTCGACACGCCCCTGAAAGAGTCCATTGTCCAAATGATTGGACTAGCGACGCTGCCTTGGCAGTGGGACCGGTAGCAACTTGGTACAAAATACTTGAAAGTTATTTTCAAACAGACTCACTTGATGAAGAATATTAATAAAATAAAAACACGTTGACATATTATTAGCTTATTTACAACCCTAACATAATCAGGTTCAGTTCCACATAGACCCTAGGATTTTTATCCGATAAAATATTATTTTAATGTTATATCGAATATTTGGTGATCGATTTCGATTGGACACTCCAATTATCATCAGACCCAATAGGCGAATGGAATGTCCATTCGTAATCGATCACCACGTAACATCTTTTTTGTATAGTTGCCGTCTTGTGAGTAACAGTATAGGCGTGAATATATGTTTTAAGTGTTATAAGATTTTTCTTTTGTTTACGTTTCAATATCCATAATGTTGGGCAAAAATTAGACATTTGTGACGTAATGTGTCATTTTATAATGGCATTCAATTTAAAACATTACACTTAATATGAGTTAATATGGAGTTTAATGATTATCTAAGGGGATTTTCTAAAGACTTTTCTGAGTAATACAATTTAGAACCACTACAAAAGGTGACAGCCTGACTTCAAGAAATGGTTTCATGGGTCGAAATAAAAAGAAAATCCAGGTTAAAATGTTTCCCAAATACACTTCATTCACGACTTCCACAACTTTGTATATTTTTGTATAAACATTTTTATCATTGTATTTTTTATACTGGCCTCTATGAAACTAGATATTTATGTCGCTATAAAAGATACCTATACAATATTATCTAAATAAATCAATCATTAAAATGTTTATAATTAAAATTATTAAAAACTGCAGGTTTGCAAAATTTGAATACACTTCTAGATAGCATAACATTGCCATTCAAAGAACCCTTATGTTCAAGAAGATTGAAAAAATAGTAGGTGAAACAACTTTTATTGTGAAATGAGGGAAAATAAGGCTTAGCTTCAGGGTGCAACTAATTTTGCCTTCGAACAGGAGACTCAAGGACAATGGGCAGGTAAGACTCTTCAAGCAGGTCAACACATGGTTGATCCATGGTGTCTATCCATGGTTGAAGCTATGGTAAGTTGGTCTAAGCAGGTCTACCTATGGGTGAAGCTATGTTATGATGGGCTAAGCAGGTCTATCCATGGTTGAAGCTATGGTATGATGGTCTAAGCAGGTCTCGCTATGGGTGAAGCTATGTAATGGTGGTCTAAGCAGGTCTACCCATGGGTGAAGCTATGTTATGATGGTCTAAGCAGGTCTACCTATGGGTGAAGCTATGGTATGATGGTCTAAGCAGGTCTACCAATGGGTGAAGCTATGGTATGGTAGTCTACCAGGCAGTTCTTGTCAGTTTACGTCCAATTTAAGTCGTGAATGCATTTTATGTGCAAGTCATGTTCACCCAACTACATTTACTCCCCCTAGAGCTACCGACGTGACGACGCGGAACAAACTTCTTCCGCTGGTCACGTTGAAACTTGCGAACACCACTCAAAATTCTAAGTTGTGGTTGAATCAGTTTGCAAGACCACGATGGGAGAGTTAGAACCGGGGATGCTTTGCTGAGCAAAACAATTGAGTGATAGTTTGCTAAACTACATTCACAAACTTGTAACTTGGTTATTGGTGCAAGTTTCAATGAAGTGAAAATTATTCAGAAAGTTTAAACTTAAACTAGTTCTACGAGAAAATCGCATTAGATGAAGTTTAGACCACTAGCTATGGCCAGAAACTGTGTTTTGTGTTTGGTTATTTTATGCAGCTAATCACCAAAAAACATGTGATAAGACTCATAAAATGTACTAAAATAGTTTTATAGACGTTTACGATCACGTAGTAAAGGCTAATTACGAGAGTTGCGTAAACTAGTTCACCAACGAACGTTTCTTAATTACTAAAAATCACTACTCATAACTCCCAAGAGGTTATGTTTTTGTGTATAGCCTCTCATAGCCACTGATTGTGATACAACGAAACATTGTACCAACCACTAACTTATTGTTTAATCAATTAATTTGGTCTTAACATTTAATCAGTTGGCGTTAGAAATATTACAATTATACTTATTTTCTCTCAACTCTTAAACCTTATTGGCCCAAACTTGTGTTGTAAAGTAACAAAACAATAGTGTAAAGTAAGTAAACAATACTCTGAAATGAATCTTTTTAATTCTAAGAACTGAATTGAAAAGCCTAGTTTACAAGATGGTCGTAGGTAAAATTATCCACAAAATGATCTAATACATCGTAGCTGCTAACAACCTGTTTTGTAGAAAACAGTAACTTTCGATTTAAATTTAATCTTAAATGAGTAAATAATTGCCTTAAAATAAGTTCAACTATTATATCATCGTTATTAAATAACGCCACATACGCAAAAAGTACTATGAATCATTAGCACTGCACATATAAAAAGAGAAACAACAATGTTTAACAACTTGCGTGAATTAATTTTTCATAATAATCCTAACAATGAATGTTCTTGTCTTTTTATGTAGTGACATATCAACACGAGTGCAATCTCCTTTGTAATTGAAGTAACAAGAATTACAGCGCTGTCTATTGTAACTGTCAACTTGCTGTCTTGTAGTGACTAATGAAAACCACCAAGTGTCATGTAGCTTAAGTGATTACATGCTTTGGCTGTTACTTAATTTTAATTAATTATTTTGGATTTTAAATTGTATTTCATAAATACCGTACTGTGTTGAGCTAAGGAGAGTAGCTGACATTTTTGATAGACCGTAGGGACTCTACGACATGGGTTCAAATACCAACGAACACTAATTACTTTTAGCTACGACATATCATAAATTTTGTTTTTGATCCTACCTAAGGCTGGTAATATTTGGGCCATGAGTGAATATTGCTCTAGATTTAGTTAAATAATAATTTTAATTTTTGTGTATATTAGTTGTACCCAACATTTTTGTTTATGTATTTATGAAAAACCATGGCTTATGGCTTAAATAATTTTAGTATTGAATACTTTTAAAATTATACCGCCATTATTGTGCTGTTGTGTAATACTGGGTACATTACAAAGTTTTTTATCTTAGCTATTAGTATTACAGTAGATAAAAACATGAAGTCTCAACTCGGTTTAAGGTCATATCGTGACAGGGAATGAAATATAGAGATAATTAGTGTTTGGAATCAATTCAGACTACCCTTATAATTTGACACATGTCGTGAGAATTGTATAAATTTCTTTTCTTTTTATATTTCTTTTGAAATAGTTATATACCAATTATGTTAAAAAAAGCATATTCCTGCGTCACTTGTATTAATCTGTTAAATTAACGTGAAGATAAAAACTGTGTTTATATGTTAAGACTATACCGAACGGTTTAATAGAACATAAATTCCAGCGAGCTCCATAGATTAAACAGGGAGGAAATTCCTAATATTACAAACAAATATTTGTTACCTTGCATTTTGTAAGTAAAACATGGGGGGGGGAGAATTAAGTTACTATAACTAGACTGACCGATGAAATTCCAGTTTTTAAGGTTAAACTGTTCAAAAATATTGTTATTAAGTTTTGATAATATTGAAAATCTATTTTTAAAATTGCATTCAAGCTTTAGAACACGTACACTCATATTCATAAAACATATACCTCATAATGGTTAGGAACTATTTTTTCCATCGCACTTATCTAATCAAAAACACAACTTTTATCTTGAACATCTGACGTCAGTTATTTATTGCAGCCATAAAAGTTAAATTTAAAGATAATTTTGAAAGAACTTTAATAAATACCTCAATTCAGTTCTGACAAAAGAACTCCATTGAAGTGTTATTAGCCACGTGGCACACTCTTTTTTCATAGTCTCCTTTATTGGAAAGACTTTTTAGCTGAACTTGTGCTTTTTCCTCGTTTTGTTATTGTGTGTTTGAGTAGTATTAGGATTAAGTAGACTTCAGCACCTATTTCACCATTGTATATTATTATCTTAATTATATAACAAAGATATGAAGCTTTAACTTGTAGTTCCTCTCTAATGGTGAATAAAGTTTAAAACTCAAAGTTTTCTTACAGAACATCTATCAGCTGTTTTATTTTGAATACATCTTAAATTAATTTAATAATCTAAAGAGGTTTGACGGCAATTAGTAATTTTACTAATACAACTGTTTGTTATAGAATAAGATATAGGTAGTACAAATTATATTTACTGAAAAATATTCGTGGTTGAACCAAGTGCGTACCTTCAACATCGTTAAATTCGTAGTACGAACAACCAAATGAAACTCCGATTAAATATAGCTTGACTACAGTCTATGTTTATCAAACTACAGTAGTTGTTTTGTATTACACTGTATGTAGCTTACTGTAGCTTAAAATGGTGTACTAAATTGATTTTAACTTACACAATGCTTCCTTTAAAAATTCTTATACTATGTCAAGTGTTCACATACTTATGGTTATAGCAAACATTTTACGGATCTGATTTTTAGGTAAAATTGTATTTTTATATTTAGTTAGTGACAAAAGTTACAATGTCCACAATGCGGTCTGTATGATTCAATTAACTCGTATACGTGACCAGATTACTGTTGTAGCACTCGTGGTTTGTCTACGTGTTAGGATATTTATATCATATATCAATATATACTTTATAGTCATATCATATATGTATATTCATATATTGTACGATATTAATTATATTATATATTGTGTCTGGATACAATGAAAGTACAGATTAAACATACTCACTTTTAGGTTAAGAAGATAAGTTGGGTTAGGTTAGGTTATATTATGTTATATTAGGTTAGGGGAAATGACTAATCCAGTACCATTACAGAAGGGTTACCGCAATTAGAAAAATATGTGGTAAAACAAACAAAATTTTTTGCTTCCTCCTTCAAAAATTAATCTTCGAGTTAATAGTAACAGTTAAATTTCCCTATTCGTTTCAAGGGTACAATGTCCAAAGATCTTATAATAATGTATATTGTAAGAAAAATAACAATATATTATAATAACATGTTATAAGAAAAACAATCTCTCTAATATTTCAAATGTTTAGGTGTTTCCTTTTAAAGTTCTTTATTTGCTTC